TATACACGACTTTTAGCAGCTCATAGGACGAAAGGGTTCACCTTCAAATTGAAAGACCAAATAAAGTTGGCTTTGAGTTGTGTAAATGATAAAGCCTAGTTTTTGGAATCAAATTTGTGTTACATCTTACCCCTACACGAAAGACGGGTTCTTTTATAGTCTTTTAGTCTCTTCTTTAAAATCTCTAACAATTATTGCAATCATGATTTGAACATTATAACGAGATAAAGTACAAATGTGATGAATCCAGATTATACTATCCCGATTATTCAACGACAAAAATTTATTTGGCACAACAACTTTTCTAATAAGAAGTAGAAATGTTTGTCACTAAATCATTCATGAATGCTATAACATCTCAGCAACAGGCGTAAGACATGGTTAATTATTTGTAAAATTTCATACTAAAGACACAATTATTATATATAGGACTACATGAACAATAATGAAATATCACATAATTGCTACGAAATTATACAAGTAGTCAATCTTATCTTATAACTTATTCAACTAATATTATATACTATCCGAGAATGGTTGATAACCGTTCCCGCCCCTTGCCCTAACTTTTCACACAAGATATATAGGGTGTGTTTGGATAGTAATTATTTGTTCAAAAATTATTTATTTGCATTAGAAACATATTTTCCAACACATATTTTTATCTTTCTAATTACCTTTTTCTCTTACATACACTACATCATAAAGTGCTATAATAATTTTTCCAACTAACGTTCCAAATAATCTACTATCCAATATGAACTCATTGCTGAAAAACCACTATTTTGGACAATAAGAATGCACCAATAAGGATCTTCGTCGGTGGTACAAATAAACATAATTTCAAATAAAAAAATTTACTTCACAAATTTCAACCATTTTTTTATTTTCCCAACCACCTTTTTATCTCACATACATCACATCACAAAAAGTGTTACAGTAATTATCTCAAATAAATCATGCAAATAAACTCTTATCCAAGCAAACTCATAATTTCTTTTTACGACACTGCACAATATATAGAGAAGCCTTTCGGCTAAGACCAAGTGTAATGGGAAAGTTGCGGTAATATTAAGCTCCACATCCATACTCCATCTACTTGGGCTTGGGCTTTTTCTTTAATAAAGAGGTTTTGTTACATCACAATGGGCTTCGAAATGGGGGCATTGAACATTCTGGTGTCGGACCACAGACGCGGTTTATTGAAGCCTTATAGGGCGGGATGGTGGAAACAGTTGTTGGTGCATCTTGGTTGACTAATCAGTGGAATCAAATAAGAGGTATGAATTAAGACACGCTATAAAGCCTATAATAATCAGGTGCATTTAAATAGAAGGTTTAAATTAAGACGCGTTAATCACATACACATATGGCTATTTGAGGATTATCATACCCTAGAACATTTTAGATATGAATTAATTAAGTAGTGAAGGCCTTAATCCTCCAATTGAATCACAAAACCATGAAAGCTTCACTTACAACTGATGAATTATTCTTTCCATCCCACTTTGATAGGTCTGATTTTTTTTTTCACACGATTTAAGAAAAGTTAGTTTACTTTGTTGAAAAAATAAATCTAATTTACGATCTTTCTAAAATACCCTTACCTTAAATGAAGTATGACTAATTGATTTTATATTAAATAAGTTAGGTTACACTCAATAACAACCTACATTAAATAAGGACATTTAAAAAAAATTATAAGTTCATTACATTTTTCAATTGAGAAGTGGACTATAATTTGTAACAAATTAAGAAGTAAAACAAGCCCCTCAAAGTAAAACAGAGGGAGTACTACTTTTTAGGCCATACTAATTAATTTTCTTCAGTTTGAGCATTAGCTTTGTATTTATTGCTCTAACATTTTTGAATAATCAAAGTCAAATAACAATTATAATTGAATTAGAGGCCTTTTTACTTGATAGTGTAGCAATTCATGCTATTTTAATGATCTTTAAATTTAAATCTTTTTCTCTGCAATTTACCGAGTAATTTTGAAGTCATAAAATTTTATTAATTTATTTTTTGGAAGAATTACCATTTTATGAAGTTGGGTCATGACAGATGTGCGGAGCCCTATGTTAAAGAATTCAACATCGATATTTCCAAGAACGAGGTCGGTCCAATTGAGTTTTAATTTACTTTGTGTTTTATTTATATAATTCTTACAAATTTTGATACATTTATAATGTCTTCTTTAACAAACAATATTATAATGTGATAATTGATGAGGGTTGAAATTCTTGAAATTTCTCAACCACAAAACCCTAAGCTCATCGGTCGACTTGGGCTTCGCCTCATTTAGACCGTCAACTTTATCTTATCCTATATTTTTACTTGCTTTTGAACAACAATTTTATAAGCCCATAGGCCATAAGTAAGCGCTGAGGCAAGAATTGTATTCCAGAGTAAACTAATCCACGCATGTGTTGAGGGAGAGAACGAGAGCAATACTTTGGATTGGAAAATTTTATCCAATAATATTTCACTTGCATTGTAAATATGTTTTTTTAATCAATTTTATATCTTTGCAGTCACCGTTTTGTCACACATATATCACATTATAAAAATTATTGTAGAAATTATTTTTAATTATATTTCAAATAATCACCTATCCAAATACGGTCATTATGTTTTTATTTAAAGACGTGTACAATTGCAATAAGTTTAGTGGAAAGAAATAAGATATCCAGAACTTTTAATCCCAAACTAGCCATCACTTTAGATGAAAATTATTTACTTCACTAGTAAAATTTGCAGCACTAATTATTTCAATACTACAAAAGTTACCAAACCACATATACATTTATTTACTTTCCAAACGTGTAAAATTTCTCAAATATAAGTTTTCGATTCCACCCCGTCTAGTAAATCTCACCCCTTCCCAGTACATCTACTATATGTTTGGATAGATTATTATTTGAAATATTATTTAGAATAATTACTATAGCACTTTTATAATATGATGTATGTGAGATAAAAAGATGATTGAAAATATAAAAATATGAGTTAAAAAATATATTTATAATTCAAGCGAAATATTATTTCAGATAATTTCACCGTCCAAACAATGGCCATTCACACGTTTCGTCCTTTAATAACTAATTGACATTCCTGACGGCTACCTAAATCAATTATCTTCTACTTGTTTATGATATGATTCAAAGTTCTCCTTCCTTTCTCTTTCCGGACCCAAAATTGCGTGATACAGAAGCAGAAAATGGACCCAATGGTCGCCAAATCCGTGTCCGATGGCGACTTGAAACAATAAATGCACACGACAATGCACATCAAAAAGCAATAAAGCTTGCTCAGTTGCACACGGATGAGCACATTTGACCACCAACATCTAGTCCTTGTATTGAATTTATATCACATTTGTCAATTGCTGCTGGTTTTGTCCATCCCAAAATCCCTTGTTGGCTAAGCTTACAGCTAAAGTAGCCAATAAAAAAACCACTTTTGCAACTTGCTTGATTGCCTTTAGTCTTTTAGATAATATAAACCAGCCCTCATACTCCTTATCCTCAAAACCTCATTCAAAGCTTTCTTGGTCCTATACTCCTATTTGTTTCTTTTGGCCAAATGGTAATCTTGGTAGAAAAGCTAGGTCGTTCCCTCAAGTTTCATCACAGACTGGATCATAACAATCACCCCAACCATGATGCTGAAGAAGCCTTATTGGCTTCTTTTCAGGCTTTTCGATCCAAGGTATCCAAATTATTAAGCCAAATTATGATGGAAGCCAAGCCTGGATCAGAGTTCTTGTCTTTGGCCTGGGTTCATAGGTGCCTTGAGGCGTTACCGATGATCGACAAGGCTTTTGCTAAGCTAGTGGTGGATGTAGATTACCCCATCGGCAAGTGGGAAGCTGCTGCATCTGAAGCATATCTTAAGCACAGCTTGAATGTGCTGGAGTTGCTCAATAAAATAAGCTCCTCACTTTCACATTTAAGCCAGGCTAGGCTAGCGTTGGCCCATGGTTTAAGCCTGATCGAAAGTTCGCCTTCTTTGGCTTTGAAGCATCTTCAGAAAATCCAGCCTAATGACCTGGGAAATGATTTCAAAGTGGAGGGTATCAAAAGGAATGAAGAACAGTTCAGTTCTCGCAAGGAATCGATAATTCATGAAGCTATGATGATCATGATAAGCTCTGGATTGTGGCTGTTTGGAATTATGATATCAGGCCTGTGCAGTGATGTTAAGCCGTATTTTCTCATGAGAAAATCAGCTCATAACTTGCATGATCCATCATTGGAAAGCCTGGACTCCTTGCTTAGTGAAGAGATCAGACAGAAGAGTATGTTGAAAGAAATTAAAGAGGTTAACGAGGCAGCAGCTGAGCTAGCTACAGAGATAGCACATAGAAAAGGAGATGCAGCTGCAGAAATATTAGGTAGAAGATTGCAGGTTCTTGAGAAGGTGCTTCAGAAAATTGGGAAGCAGACGGATTGCCTGTTCTCTGAAGTTCTATTGGCAAGGAATAAATTGCTCGACACTATTCGACTCAAGAAATGATAGATGTTAGGCTATTTGTACAAATCATTTTTAAGTTTTCATACCTGTATGTATATGTATTGTTCACAAATTGTAAAACACAGGACACCCACACACACTACGCCCCTACAAGTAAATCAGGTTTGCTCATAATATTCAATTTTCAATTTCATCACGCTAGTCCGTTTGTGAAATTAGCGTGGCAGAATAAACTATGCTTGTCTCACTGCAAATGAGCATATTGAGGGGAGAAGTAACGAGTTGGAGACACAGATTAATCTTAAACATCATCAACCCAACAGCCCAAACAGAGAAATCAACAAACTGACAGAAAACTAGCACTCGAATCCGGCGCAAACCAGCATGTAATTTGCCTGAATGGGGATTTCAAACCAAATTAAAGAACATCAGGACAGTGAAAAGGAGCGGAAATCCAGATTTTACTCTCTACAAAGCTGCTTCATCCCATAAGAAAGACTGGAAACACAGCAGAAAAAGACAACTAATACGAAAACTTGTTTCATTACTTTGATAATGTTTTAAGCTTTCCAAGGATCATGCAACTCTTGGCCAAACTACATGCGCCTATCCAAAAGTTACATATATAGCTCAAGTTGTTTCTGCATTATGTCTATTTTGTTTCTTCCTATCACAAAGGGAGGTAGCAAAAGGTTAAATAATCAATTGATCTGTCTCCCATATGTACTGCTACGGGTTCTCCTTTTCCGTTTCTGTGCACCGACAGCACCAGAGTCTGCTGCCTCAGGTGCCTTCCTCTTCTCAAAAGTTCCAGAAGAGAGCCTGAGTGAGATACACAAGACATGTTTCAGCTACAAATTCTAGTACAAGGTGCTAAAAACTCTGGTAATCCAAAAGGAAGGCAAAGTAGCTACATAAATGGAAATGCGAAAGACAAAAGCAATGTACCCCAAACGCAAGTTGGTATCAGAATCTTCATTCTCAACTGAAGTTAAGGCTTTATCAGGATGTGCAGTAAGGCCCTTAGCAGGCATGTTTGCTTTCTCCACTGGATAGCAGTCAATGTAATTTGGAGCTGGATGCCCACTTGATGGAAGTAAATGTTCAAGCTCCACAATCTGCATTTTGTATCACACCAGATTAAAGTTGTCAACAGTAAATCATTTACCATTAAGTTCAAACAACCATCTAATGAATCAAAGAAAGCTCTTTGCCTTTGTGCGCAGACTCTGGTTCTCCTGCAAAGTCCTTTGCTCCTAAACAGGAAAACAGCACAAACTCAATTAACAAGAAAAAGTGTCTGACTTTCCTTCTAGAAAATCTTTCAATATAATTCTGTGATAAGCAAAGAAAATGAAAAATGAAATTCTGGAGTACAAGAACAGAAAACAATCTTCCAAATTCTGGTTTTACATTCTATTAATGACATTTAAATGTTTATTCCTCTCAAATAACAGAAGGTACATGCAAGACTCTTCACTTGTACAATAAGCAATCCACAGAAGGCAAAAATTGAAATACTTTGGTATACCTGCATCATTGCTTGCTCAAGTTGATCCATGAGCATTCGCTCCTGAAAATGAAGTGTTACATGAATAAAAGTTCAGAAAGGTTCTACTGAAGATAACTGTTGACAATATGCTGAACCTGACACTTCACTTTCTACCACAGCATTTAGTTTCATATCAAATTGCAGACAAATGAGAACTGCCAACCTTTCTCGCCTTTATTGAAGATAGGCCCTCATTCAGTTGCTGTTCAACCTCCTGTAGTTCTTTCAGACCTAAACCATCAAGATCCTTTCCCAACATCTGCCTATAAGTTATAAAAATAAAAATAAAAAAGCATATAGTGACAATCCTAGATTCAGTAAACTATAAGGCAATGAGTCAGATAGAAGGTATCGACAAAAACTTACGAATGTTTCAGCTTAAGCTTCTCAATTTCCTCCTTGAGAATGTCTTCTTCCTTAGGTCCTTGAAGAGGCTGCAAATAAGAGAGACATCAAGAACCTTAAAGTTTCTAGCATAACTTCAAATTTAATGGTGGAAAAAGAAAAACTAAAATCTCATTTAATTTTCTTAAAGGTTTCCAATGTTATACGATAAAAGCTCAAAAGGTCACAATTGACGAAGTATCCAATAAATGACATAAGAAATGAAAAAGTGTACCTCTGAGTGTACATAGAACCCATACCTGTCCTGAAAAACTAATCATCAATTTCAAAACCATAATACAGCTATTTCTTACATGACAGATCTCATCATTGTCTTCTGGATCTATAATTTAACACCATAGAAAAGATCATTTGCATGTAACTTGAGTATTGATGTTCTGATTTTCTACTTCTGTAGGTTCAGTTTTCCCTTTGGACACCAATCAGCAATATATGAGAAAGTATTCAACCAAGACCTAAAGTTATATGTGGCCTAGTTTCCCTGTTTCTTAATACAAATATGTATCATCTCTATGCTTTGTGCACAGCTGAAAATTTCTCATAAGCAAATAGGTATGGTGTGGCACCAGATGAACTGAGTCCACGCATGTATAAACATAATACAAGTTTAATTTCTGACTAATAGTGTATTGTCCTAACATTTTCTCTGATAATACCTAAATTCTAAATTGCTGCTGAAGATTGGACACATTAGAAGGCAACTTAAGGGAACCAAAGAAAATTATTGGCAGCTTTCATTTTACGCAAGCTAAACAAAGACTACAGATGCTCAACATAAACAATCTGCAATGACTCCTATTACAGGTTTGCTAGTTGGCATTCCTCTTTCATCTAAATCACAACGCCACATAATTCTGCCAGATCTAAAATACTAACCTTTAAGCCATCCATCCTTAATAGCTGACAGGACAAGATTCATGTAATTTGAGCAACATTACATGTTCTGTAATTCACTATTGTGTCATGAATGCCCTGGTGGAGACCTTCTATGTGTCTTCACAAATACATGTAGTGATATCCAAGAGCCATTCTCAGAACATATTAAGCTATTGATGCAGTGGTTTCTTATGGAGCCTTCTTCAACTTAAGGCTAACCCCATCTCATGACATGAAACAAGAATTGTCTAACAGTACATCAGCAAAAATATTTGTAATTACAGAAAGCTTTTTTTTTTCTTTTTCTTTTTGTAATTACATAAGATTCACAATTTTCAGTTACTGGGCTGCTAACCAATGCCATGTCAATCTATGGATGTAAACGTTTAATTTCATCATTGATGCAATAGATTACCTGGGATGTTAATGTTTATTGTCGAATTAACAGTTATAAGCACAACCATGGAGACTATACAAATTGCATCACTGTCATTGTCTGAGATTCCATGACCTTTGGCACTATGTAGGATTTCAAATATGTTACCTCTTGTCCGCAATACAAAGACTGCTAGATTATTGAAAAGAGGAACAAGGAGATATTTCTCTTTTGCAAACTAAGATTTGTTCTTGAAATTTAAAGATGTGTAGTATAGACAGAGTATGGTTACGATGCCATCATGATACTTAATCTGTTGCATTCTAGGCAAAAATTGTAGTTTGTAATAACATTATACAAGGAAGTAGCATCAAAGATTCACCAGGGATGAAATCCCATTGTATTTGAGGAGTCATGGAGTCTTTGAGAATTCCAGGTTGAGGAAGGGGCAGAACCAAGTATGGTGCAACAAAACCCATAAAAGGAGGATGACTGTCAATCATGATTTTCTTGGTCATTCAAGGGAGCAACCATGAAAAATAAGAATGGCTAAGGATTATTTGTGGGCAAGAAATTGAAAATACATCCTAATTTTCCTATCTACTCTTTGTTTGTCAAAATCGCTGTGGGAGGGAAGACAAGTTCAAAATTTGAAGAAGGCAAAAGTTCAAACAGATGAAAAGAAAAATAGAATTGAGGTGATATGTGAGTATTGTACCTCAGGCTGATGATCAACTGTTGCACAATCAGATGGTTCAAAGCATTTATTGTATCTTGCAATTATCTGCGGCATGCTGCATGAAATAGGTTCTACATGAATTAGACAATACTGATACCTAAAATGAAGATCACATAAGTGTACTGCAGAATGATCTCATAACTAACTGTACTGCATAAAATAGGTTCTACATTATGCTGCATTCATGTGCACTTATGTAGTAGTTTAACTGCCGCATAGCTATATTCCCAGTCTCTGAATTGTCTAAGTCATCAATTTTGATGCAGCTATCATGAAAAATGCAGGACCCTAATGTGAGCAGTAAATTATTATTGTTGTTTCCTGATTTTCATTGTTTAGCAAAAATAAATGAAATTCTTTCACCCTTTTCTGTCTCAGACATACAAAGATGCTGAATAAAATAGTATAAATGCAGGTCATTTGAACCGCCAAACAGTATCATGACCATTCTGGTACTTTAATGTTGATGTATGACCATGGAAAAGAAGAGTTACTTTCCCTTCATCTCTATCATATCTCTACACAAGCATACATCCAAGCTAAATAACTGTTAAGCAACCAACCAACATATTTATGCAAGGCATAACATCACATTATTCGCAAATGGAGTCTTGCAATTTTAGTTTGCCAGATAAATTATATGAGCATCAGAAACAAAGTCAAGACCAACATCAAACAACCAATTCAACACAAACTGAACAAAGCTAGATCATAGTCATCTCAGTGTATTCCTGAGAGAAGAAAGCTGAGAAGGCTTCCTCCAAAACAATTCTGCAATAACACATAATGCTGCACACTTGAGTCAATTTGTTTAAATCAAATATTTTCAAAACATAGCCCCTGCAGACATTAGGCAAAACTTTGTCATCAGGTTAAGGAGATTGCCCTCTAACTCACATTGTTGGAATGGATACATAAAAACATAAAAAGATTATTGACTCATGTAGCACTTTTTGTGAGTAGATGCCTTCATGAGTAAACATTCAAAGACCAAGAACTAGTTGAAGGGCATTAATGTTGATAAATTTCAGAACTTCCTATTTGAAACTTAACCACTAATATTTTCTTTGAAGATTAACTTTTGTTTCTCTAACAAGGCCCCACATTAAGATGAGAAATCGTTTATCTAATGTTAATTAAATCAAGAGATTTAAGAAACAATAAAGTATTCAATTAAAATTTCTCTTTGCTAAAAGATATGTCAGCTGGATATCTTTCTTTAGGTAGAGAACAAAATATAACACTGACTTTGACAGTTGGACATAAGTGAAGGGCTAAACTTCACCAAATTCAACCTTTTCTCCAATGGATTAAGCCGTATGAGTACACATAAATTATCACCATGCTTACTATGGCAAAATTATGATTTCTGTTCATGATGGTTACTAGCAGTTAATATATCTGTCTCATTTTGTGGTTCTATTAGAAGAAATTTACCCATGAGCTGAACTTTTTCCATCTCAACACGAGTATAGCAGAAAAACAGCAAGCCATGTAATTACACTTCACTAGAACTTGTCACTTAGATTTGGACAATCACATTGGCTTTATGCGAATTGAATAATCAACCGTTTCTTCTCAAGGCAATAGGAAATAACATAATTAAGTAAAGACAAAAGCGCGAAGAAGGATTAGTTCATCAGTATTAATGCGCGACAGCAAAGTTGGTGGACCCTTTAGGTATGGCTCACAAGAAAACGTTACGGAAACAGAGAAGCAACACGTGTAGTGCTGACAAATAAAGATTTGTTGGTACTGATGTCATTGAATCCGATAATAGCCACAAACTCTCACATGTAGACCAGGAATCGATTGACTGCACTAAGAGGAAGACTGTTTTACTTTGAACACTGATGAATAGAATGGATAATACATATGAGTAAGCTCAGCGTTAACCATTCATTGTTACCCAAATGAGAATTATGAAAACAAAATCGATAATATTAAATCTCATCTAAATGAAAAAGTTTTCTGTATGTAGACTAAATTGAGGTGAAAGTGGAAAACAGTTGAACTGCCTTCCGCTTTATGCTACGACAAAAGAGTCAATTGGCATTACGCGTTTATCTAACATCATCTCCTCCATTTGTTGTTTTACACTTTAATTGGATTCTAAATAAATGCAGTTTACTTCTTCATTTTGAAATCTAGCAATTGAACTTATCAAAACCATTACTACCATCTGATTGAGGATGACATATCAGTCCTTGATCAAAGCAGCATTGACAAATCAACCCTTCTCGAATGCACTTTACTTTCCCACAAATAATAGATGCATAATTATCCTAGACTAAAATAGAGAAAAAAATGTGGCAAAGCAAAAGACAAATTTTGGGCAACATTCAACTGCATTCCTATGTGGTAGTCATATAAATAAAAAAAAATTGAATACCTTGAAGCTGTAACATAAAGGAGATATTTTTATATTCAAATTCCAATTTTTGCATCAGTTTTGAATAAAGATTTTGAGAAAATGAGGCCGAGAACAAACAATTGGACAGTGAAAACTAATAAAAATTAAAATTTGACCAAAAAAAGTGATAATTTAGCACAATTCTCCATCACAAAGTACTTCTTGGTTCCAATCAAACATCCAAGGCTCCAGATAAGGGGAAAAATTGAAAATAAGGCATATAAACGATCAGAACACTCTTGTAAGACTAATAAACCATTATAACCATAAGTCCCACAGCCCATGAAAGGAAAGATATGCAGCATAACCATAGAAATTGAAGAACTAAAAGTGAAAAAAAAAATAGAACAGGTGAGTTACCAAAAAATCGATAAAATCAAGAAACCGTGCAGCTACTCAAAAACAAAAGGAAAAAAAACATAAAACAGTGAATACACAGATATTAAGGAAAAAGGAGGAATCCAAGGTGTGCATGAGCATTCACAGACATATACCTGGAACTTGCGAACTCGAACAACTTTCCAGTGTTGGAAAAAATGATGACAGCAACCTCAGCATCGCAAAGAACGCCCAGTTCATAAGCTTTCTTCAATAGCCCATTGCGCCTCTTGGAAAATGTGACTTGCCTGCTGTTAGCATTCTCAATTTTCTTGATTTCGATTTTTCCACGACCCATTGGTGGTGATTCTGCAGATACACCTCCTGCCAATCGATCAAAAACAGAAAAACTAAAAAGGAAAAAGCAGATAAAAAGCAAGTAATCTTGATTCTTGACTAGTTTACTCTCTCTCCTGACCCTATACATGTGCATGCATGTGGTTTTTCCAGGGGGTTTTTGAGGGGTTTTTGCCTGAGTAAAAAGGAGGAGAGGAACTGCTAAAAAAGATAAACAAGAGATTATTAGTATTAACAACTAATGGCTTGCTAATTATAGAGAGAGAAGATGATGAAGAGAGGGAGATAAAGAGGCGTGAAGGACTGTTTTTGCATTTGTATTTGTGAAAGTGAGACCAAACGCTGCATCCAAATGGCGAATTTATAGAAAGGGGCAAAGCTCTTTAACTCTTTGGTTGCATGGTTTTGGTACTCTTCTATGCAGTGCATGACTGCTGTGTCAACCATCCGTCTATTTGGTTGCCACATTTGGGATAGCTTCGCATTTGGTTGGGAGACTTGATGTGGGTCCCACTTGGTTTTTCCTTTTTCCTTTTTTTTTACACTATGGAAATATGGATGGATGGATTTTATATTGATTTGCGAAAGTAGGTGGTCAAACTTTGTGGATGTGTAGTTTTACTAGGAATCAATTTGGGTAAGAATTTCTATTTCAGTATGGGTCTATCTAATGGGTTTACAAGATACCATAGAAAGGGGAGGATTGGGTTAGATGGTAAGAGGGAAAGGATTTAGATAGAGGGTTCTGAATTTAAAATTTATCACTTAAAGAAAAATATTTTCATTGGACACTCGATCTAATTTAGAAGTGAGACATTTGGAAAGATAAAGCTAATTAGAGAAAATATATAAATATAAAAGAGAATATTAATTATTAGTGTGTACATATACATGACAGTTTGGGTGCGATTTAAATGTGTTGGGCACTCGTCACAAAAATCGTTTATGTAATAGTAAGTTATATAAGGTTAATATAGAAATTGACCTCTTTTTATTTTAATATTCTATGGTCATTATAAGTATGGATTCCACTTGGGCTTTACACATATTTTGGGGGAAAATGAAAAGGGATAAACTTGGAGACTTGACACACCAAAAGTTTGAAAATTAAATGTCATGTAGTAGACATTAACTTTCACAAATGTTCTAATATAAGAAAGGGTTTGTCTTGGGCAATTGTCAAGATGGAGTTCAGATTGGACAATAATTATTAATATGTAAATTCATATAGGAAAATAGGTATGGTCTAGATGCACTAAAAAGTACTCACCAGGCATCCATTAGAAAAAACCCTATAAGAAAATGCTGTATAGTTGAAACCACATGGCATGCTGGCGAATGTTGTGGTTTAAACTTTAATCTCCCCAAGATGTGGAAGGCAATTGAATGGATCAATTCGATTATTGGATTAAAATTTTAGATAATTGTTCAAGATAGTACACATGTTACTGCATATGGTCCAATTACTTAACGCGTATTTTATTTGGTGGACAGGAAATGGATGTAAATGGTTTATATGGAGACGAATTTCTATTTGTATAATATTTTATGAGGTCAGCATTTAGAAACTCATGATGATACTTCAATATTGGAAAAGAGTTTGTTCCCTTCTGGACAATTAATGATCTGTAACCGCGCATTAAAAATTTGTATAGAGACAAAATATATGGTGGGAACACATTGAAAGATTGAGTAATATCAGTACCAATTTTATTTAACAATGTATCCAAAATTGCTATACAACGAGAAATTCAATCAACTTTAGGCATGAGATGGTGCAGCTCTTACATTGATATAAGAGAACTAAAAAAATGTATGACGAAAATTAAAATCCTAATTGCAAAATATAATAATGTGACACGTACACACTTGGTAATAGACTTAATAGTCATCACTTTCTTCACACCAAGTCACAAAGAAATCAATCTAATTTCTCATTCCAATTACCATGTCCCAATAAGACCAAAATTTGTCACATTATTAAAACTCAATACCATGCCCCACCACCGAAGTCTTTAAGGCTTGGTAGAGTAGGAATTGAAGGGTTCAAACTTTAATAATCCTCTAAAAATTTGTCACATTATAGAAACTCAATACCATGCCCTACCACCAAAATCTTTAAGGTTTGATGGGATGGAAGGTCAAGAATTCAAATCTTACCTCCTATCACTTGCCATTATATGTGACTTGCCACTTTATGTGATTTTCTCTAAATTTATACGGATGCGTAGTGCATCCATCTAGTCTGATGGTGATTCAATTTTCGTTAGTTCTCTTGTAAGCTCAATTGGGCTCTTTCCCTATAATAGGTTAGAATAGGAGTAAAAGTAAGTGCAGGATAGATAAGTAACGACTGACAAAATATATATATATATATATATCTGGCAAGTGAACTTGTGTTTGTGGTTCTGACATTTATTTATTTATTTTCTTTTCATCTTTTGTATAAAAATATAATACTGTTTTCTTTTGTACACTTAGCGATTTCCATTTTAAGTTTGTCCTTCTTCCTTATCTAATGTCCTTGGTCCACATTATGCTATTTCTTTGGTCAGACTTTACTTGTATTTCAAGCCAATTGATATAGCAGCGTTACCATTTTTATCCTTTTCAAGGAAGTACTATGCAACTCATAACCTTAGGCTTGTTGATTAAGGTAGTAATTTGATGTGTCAACATTGTGCAGACGCGGATATACATAAAAGATACTAAAGATATGCTATGATTTGACAGTTCATATTGCTTAAGGTTTCCAAACAAGTCTACTCTTTTTCTGGAGTTTTGACTTTTTGGAAAGTGTAACAGGATTTTACCTTAAATAGACTTGTACTTCTTTTGGATTTTTATTTGGGTCACAAAGTAACTATAGTTCAGTAATTCCCAAGAACCTGTTTGGAGTCTATCTTTACTTGGTCAGTTGTCACCGAGTTTATCTCCATATTAATTATTGAAGTACTTTTCTTATTCCTGCTGGTTAGGATTCTGGAAATTTGAAGAAATTGTACTTGAGCCTGTAAAGTTTTTTCAAGATGACATTAAGCCCCTGATAGAAATTCTAGCCGGGCAGAAAAGAAATCCATGTCCAAGCATACTGGACTTCAAAATTCAATATTGTCCTTGTATCAATTTTACAAGAATATAGAAATCAATTTTTGGTTGTTAAACTTAGCTTGACTCACTTGTGTAGCGAACAAGGTGGGGAAAAAAGGCAACAAGTTTATTACTCCCTCCGTCCCGTTTTGTTAGTCTTGATTTTTTTTTTCACATAGATTAAGAAAGTGTAATTAATTTGGTTGGAAACATAAATTTAGATTAATAATTTCCTAAAATACCCTTATGCTAATCAGGAAAAGTGCCAATTAATATCAGTTACAGCTAATGGTGCCAATAAATATTAGTTACCGCCAATAGTGCACCCCGATTGTTCCAATTACCGCCAATAGTGCCAATAAATAACAAAGATAGACTTTTCATTTATCTATGTATTGGAAAAGCTCAATGTATTCAATGTAGTGGGTTAGTATTTAATAACAATGCATTAATAACAAGATATTTAATAAGGGTATTTTAGACAATTTGAAAGATTACTACATTCCTTAATGGAAAAGTGGATTACAATTTGGGACAGATGAAAAAGGAAAACAAGACTAACAAAACGGGACGGAGGGAGTAGCATATAATTTTAGGGGATTCTACAATCATTTGTGAGTATTATACCCACAAGTGAAATTTGCCATTAGATGGTGAAAGAAGTGTTATTGATCCTTAGATTAAACATTATTAAATATTTAAAATTTAAACTATTACCTTTAGAATTAATCTTCTATATACTTTCATCATTGGATGCATGACACATAATTCGAATTTGAATTTGAAACCCAAATTTTGCACATGTGTCGTGCATTTAACCGTAATAGCATATACACTGTCAGTATATATAAGATTTAGGCCTTGTTTAATAATCCAATTCAGCACTTAAACTAATAGATTCAGATCTTAACATATTCAGATCGTTTGATAACCAAAAATTGAACATTTGAATTAATTAACTGGCACTGAATTTCTTATGCAAAACTTGCTCTCAATGTTAAGTGATAAGCTATTCACTCATCACTGAATGTGATATGCACTCAAATGTATTAAATTTAGTACTTAACATTTCAATAACTTAATGGATTCAGACTTCATATTTCAGATTTCAAACTTCAGTTTTATCAAACGTATCCTTATTCTTATCTTTAATGCGAGATACAAGTTGAGGAATGGTACCAAAAAGGGACCATAGAATTTTTTATAAATTTCAATGCATTTAATCAATCTTCAACAATTGTGGATCACCTAATGTTTGGTAATTGAGAGATAATTTGATGTAATTCTAAATATTGAAATATTTCAAGTAGCTTATAATAGTTTTGCCAGAATCTTAGCTATATACAAGTGAGAAAAGATAAGGTTTGTCTATGAATTACTTGTTCACATTTTAGCGAATAAAAACAAAAATTAATGAATAGTTTTGTCGGAATCTTAACTATATACAGGTGATAAAAGATAAGGTTTGTTTATGAATTACTTGTTCGCTTTTTAGTGAATAAAACAAAAGTTAATGAATAACACTTAAATAATAGGAGTACCTACGTAATTTTAAGGAAAAATTGTTCAAAATGTCCGTCACATTTTATAAAATAACTTTTTTCGTCCCTTACTTTTAAAAGCGTAATTTTGCATTCCTTATAATTTCATATTGGTCAAATTTGATCTCTATTAAGGTTTCTTTCTAGTTTTTGATTCAAATGTGTCACGTGCCTTGCACGTGATTATTTTTCAGGGGCAAATTTGTCAAATCCTATTTCACATAATCTGATCCATAGTCCCTCATATTTCACAAATTAAATTTTTTTGTCCTTACATTTCACAAAATGAATTTTTTTCATTCCTTACATTTCACAAAATGAATGTTTTTATCCCTCATTGATTATGTATGCGAATAGCTTTTTTTTTTTTCCTTAAATCCACGTATATGCCTATTTGATTTCACCTGACCAGAACGAATAGCATGTAATATATCTCTATTTGATTTCATCTGCAATTAGCTTCATCAAGTGAAATCAAATAGTGATATATTACATGCTATTTGTAATAGTTAAGTGAAATCAAATAGGCATATACATGGGTTTTCAAAAACAAGATAAAAATTTTATTACACATGAACAATGAAGGATGAAAATGTTCATTTTTGTGAAATGTGATGGACAAAAAAAATTCATTTTCTAAAATGTGAGGAATTATGGATCGAATTATATAAAATGTGATTTAATAATTTTATCCCCAAAA